ATTAAACAATAAATAATTGTGATGTTTCTACCCTCTTACTTCAGGTTACTTCAGGTTCAAATGTAGCAGAAGTGTTAAATTTTATGCTAAGCAAAGTTCCTCCAGAACCTAGGAAAGCAGGGCCACATGTCAGACTTGTGCTAGGTCAGGGCAAGGAGAAAAGCTAACAAATGGTGTACAATGTGAAAGGAGTATGGCTGCCAGTGGATGCTAATTCTCATGGTGTGCCCTAGGTCCTTAGCTTGCTTCCTCCTCTGTGTCCTGGCCCTGCGAAAATAACATAATAAAACAGTTTCCATGGCTGGAAGCACTCCTAGGCACCCATGTTCTTCTCTGGAAGAGCCATGGCATAGCTTACGCCTCTTCCAAACAGGACTGGTGAGGGTTCAGGGAAGGTCTTTTAACAGGGAAGCCAATTTGCTTCAAAGTCACACCCAAGTTTCCAAAGGAACCATACCATAAACAGGCAAAATATGTAAACTCAAAATACAGAGAAAAAAAAAGAGCTAAAAACCAATACCAACTTTAAAGACATTCCAATTTTGAGAAATTCATGAGCACCGTGACCAACTTTCATTGGTATCTAGTAAACAACAAGGAGAAAACCAAATAAACAAAAACTAGTTTTATACCATAAAACAGATGGGGTAGAGGGAGACAATCCTTTATTATGAGGTTGCTATCAAAACGAACCCATGGGGAACGTTTGCGGATGCTCTGCAGTAGGTTCTCATTCCTTCCAGTTATGCCAAAAGAAGGAAAGACTGGCAACCAGAGGGCCCATGGTGATGTGCAGGCAATCCTGTGCTCACTGCCCACACACTGCAGTTTCAAGGAGCCACTTCCATGGGCTGTCCCAAAGACCCTGTTGTGTAGGCAAAGCACACCCATTGTTTTAGCCTACTTCTGCTGAGGGCAAGCGGCATAATAAAACCAGGAGTCATCATGGCACCTTCTGACTGTGCTTCCTGGCACTTTTCATACCATAGAACTCAGCACAGCCACATCCTTATTTCCAAAACCTTCCCAAGGATGCAACCCTCATAATGTGACTAAATCATTAGTGTTAAATCATTTCTTTTGAATATATATACATACAAAATAGCAACAGTTTAGTCTCAGGCAACATAAGCAATAAAGGCTAAGAAACTCCAATAGTGAAACAATTTATATTTTATTATTCTCCCACATGAAGATCTTGCCTTTATTAGATAACTTATAACTTAGTTTTTAAATATCTATACTACTTAAAGCAAAAAATACATTCCATATAATCCCTATCAAAACCCCAATGGTTGGTGTGAGGAGTGTAGCTCAGTGGTAGATAACCTCCTTGGCATGTGCGAGACCTCAAGTCAACCTCTGACATCAGGAAATAGGCAATCAAACAAACAAATTCCATTTACATTCTTCACAGAAATAGAGAAATGAATTCTAATATTTGTAAGGAACTACAGAAGTCCCCCAAAGAGCCAAAAGTCAGAGACATCATATCATACCTCTTGATTTAAAATTATATTACAGGAGCTGAGGCGATAGTTCAGTGATAAAGCACTTGCCTGTCACACACAGGGCCCTGGGATTGATCTCCAGCACCTCCAATAAATGAAATCAACTTTTGTTACAAAGCTAGACATCAGAATTTCAGAATGTTGCTGTAAACACAAACACATAGGCTGACGGACCAGAATAGAATGCTTAGAACTAAATCCAAACATACGGAATGGATTTTTCAACTAGGATACCAAAAACACAGTGGAGACATGGAAGTTTAGTGAGATGACGATCAAAAGTTCAAGGCCAGCTATGTACTGAGACCCTAATTAACAAACCGACCAACCAACCTACCAACCAACCAACCAACCATTAAAAAATGGTCCAGAAAACTGGATCTCCATATCTAGAAGAATGAAATTGGATGCTTATGCCACATAAAAATCAACTCAAATTGGTGGGGGAAAGACCCAAATCTAAGACAAAAAACAGGCAATTCAAACTACAATTTGTTAAGTTGTTAGTTGAAAATTCAGAACACACCCTTTTAATGAAGATGCAGTGATAAGGCTTACAGGTCTATAGAGAGAACTAGTGCAGGTGAAGCACAGAGCACAAAGACACCCACATACATGGGAGCAGACACACTAGAACCACTTGCATGCAGAACGCAGGTTTTGTGGGAATCAGATGGTAGAGCTTTTCACTGTGACCAGAAACTCCTCTCTCTTGCTACAGAGCTCACCATCTTGTCTTCTCCTCTGCTCTTGCAGTGGGGAGAAGACCCTCCTAATCCTGCATCCTCCTATCCCTGTTGCATGAAAAAGACCCTCCCACCCTCTCTCTGCCTATAGCTGCAGAGCTCCCAGCCCTGACAGGGAGAGCACCCTACGAGTCTTCAAACCAGGGCCATTTCACCAGCACCCTCTGGGTCCCCAGTTTGTTTTCAGATCACCTCCTTTGCTTTATCCCAGCAGCCTCGATCCTTTACCTCCCTGCATACAGGGTGGTGGCCAGCACTACCTTTAATAACTGATTGCAGCCAATTCACACCAAGTGTGAATGGGTCCACTAGATGATGGTTGAGTTCTATTTAAAGTTAATTTCTAATGAAGTGGGGGATTGAGACCTACATCTAAGCTTTAGGGCTCCCCAGTTCTTAAGGGTTCTTAATCAACAACTTCACTAATTTGACCTCTATATGATTGGAAAGCCCTGGAGAGGCATTAACCTCTTCAGTCACACTGAGAACTCCAAAGCCCTCCAGAGAAAAATGACAGAATAACAGAAGTTAATGAAAGGAAGGAAGGGAAGCTTTGTTCTCTCATTTCTCACAACCCAAAGAAATGTGTATGCATCTTGGGGAGGTAAAATCTGGCCAAAAGTCATTCCTGCACAGGAAATATAGATTAAAAATATGTACCAAATCAAGCAATTGAGCCTGCTTTTGGGTGAATGCTGGTGCTTCCCGGATGGAGTATCTTTTATGCTGAACCGTCTTTAAAGCTATCTTATTTGGCAGTCTCATTTTTTAAAAAAGAAATATCATTTCTGAAATACTTATCTGGTCAGCTATTGGCAATATGGTTGTTTCTCTGTCCAAAAATTTAAAAAGTTCTTCTGAGGAAGCAGAGAGACTTCTAAGTGTTGCCCCACTTACGCTCAGCTTCATCCTTTGGAATATTAGTTTTCAGAACCACTTTTCCAGATTCTATGAAATCAGGACTATTGATTTCTTGGGGAGGCCTCAAAATGGTAACAGCCAACTGACAAATGCAGCTGTCCATCAGCCACTTGAATTAATTTGGAGAGGCTGGAGGCCTTGCTAATCCCAACAGCCACAGTGCCATGAGAAGCTTGTGTGCCCTTCAATCGAGATCTCAGACTCTGGTCTTCAGTTTATCCTTAGAAAAGAAGGACCAAGAAAAACTGAAATGTGCATCAGGACACAGAGGGTCAGGTTTGCAAAATCACTTGGGCAGCTCTTACCCCTCTGCACATTCACACATATGCCCCTTATTACCCACTGGAAAACCATTAAATGCACAGTAGTTTTGCCAAGTGGTGTTAGCATTTAACAGCTTCTTCGTTTAACAGCTCCAACTCTCATTATATTTTGCCATGTGGTACATGGGATTTTTATGTGTTTAACAGTTTAGGGAAGGCTCTATGGTGTTTTCTTTTCATGGATTTCATCCTATGGTTAGACATATCTTAGCAAACTCAGTTCCCTAGTTTCACTGAGGAAGGGAGTCAGTCATTTCCAAGAATGACTACATGGAAACTGAAAGGGGAAATAAACATTTCAATCCTCTTCAGACTCCTTTGGTATTCTCTCTCTTCATTAAAAACTGAAAGTAAGATATTGTAAAATGGAGGTCAAAAAAGAGGTTAATCTGCAAACAATTAGTCTAAATATACTAAATATGACGTTTATCATTTTAAGGACTTAATTTTTATTGAACTCTTTCTTGCTTAATAAAAATGCAACACCCATTAACTTAGTACTATAGCACACAGTAGTAACTCAGTACCATAGAATACTTAGTAATAACTATAGCACACCACAGATCTGTTAAGGAGAAGGCACAGACCATTTTACCATTTGCATATGTAGGAATGAAAGCATTTGTCATGCAAAGCACAGTGTAAATCAAGCTCAAAATCAAAGGGCTTCCAAAATTATGCTGCAGCTAACTTCCATTTCCTCTGCCCTACATTAATCCTTCATCTGTGGGATAAAGAAGGGTGCCCTGGAGCAGACCTAAGGTGATAGCTGTCCCCCTAAACAAACTGAGGCAGAGGGGGTAGATCCTATCAACTGGTGCTGCTTTCAGAACGGAAGCCAAGCATCTGTGTGCTGGCTTCCCCTGAGCAACACACTCCCTGCAGCTCTGACGCTGAACACTTTTACTGGATAAGCATCTATGTTTTTCTGCTAAAAGATTTTAGCACTTATTCTGGAACCCCCACGTGTGTTTTCTCCTGGAAAAACAACTGTATTCAATACGTGAACGAAACACCTGACAATCACAAGGTGTCTCTGGGGCTAGGCAAAAGTGGTTATTATAGCAAAGTCAGCCCTTCCCCTGGTGGGAATAGGAAGGTTATGAGCCCTAGATAAATGTGGTCTCTAGGAAGGGGCTGTTATGCACAGGCTAAATTTTTTTTTTTTAATTAAAAGAAATTGCTTCCCGAGAAACAATTTTTTTTTTCAATGAGTATAGCAAGTTTTGGATAAGGGAAAAAAATTTCTAACCCTTATTCTTTAATATCAAATACTTATTTAAGAGAATGAACACAGGTTCTGGCATTGTCTCTCCTCTGAACTCCGATGAGAGCTACAGCAAAGCCATGGGGCAGAAGGCAGAACATGATGGGCTCCCCAGGGGTTATTACTGTTATTATTATTATAAAAACAGATGTGTTTTTATTGAAGGGGAAGGAGAGTGGTCCCAGCCCTCCATTTTGCTCTTTAAAAAAAAAAAAAAAAAACAACCCCTCACCTGACTTTTGTTTGCAGCCACTTTGGCAAACAGGGCTTGAGACACCTTGGCTCTTTTCATCTCCTGTTGGATCTCGTCATAAATGGCAGCTGTGATGTTGACGTTGGCGCCGTCCACCTTAATAGGGAGGTCTGTTGTCGGTGTCGAGGTTTTGGCCTATCAAGAGACCATGAAAATAATAATTTAAAAAGTGCTGCATTCAGAGCAGCCATCTGTGCAGAAATTATCAGAGGGTTTCAGTCAGCTGATGCCAAACCACATTAGCTACAGAGGGACACTTCCTGTCCATTATTCTAATCAGGTTAATTGTGATTGGAAATAATTGCGATGCATTCCTATAGGACATACAGAATCCTGTCAGCTCTTGCTTCCCCTCATAGTAGCCTGGTAGCTCACAGGTAAGAAAGCAACCCTGGGCACATCAAAGTATAACATCTATCTACAAGCAAGCACACAAAACACACTCACCTTTTTCTTTGTAAAACATGACACACCTTACAGAAGAGCCAATTCTCCAAGAAAAAAACTGAGTAAATGGGTAGAGGTCTCTAAATAATAAATTATTACTCAATTTAACGCGCTCCCGAGAGTACCTCTTGCTCTTTATTAAGGCTTCATGTATGTTATTTGAGTATGTGCGGCCCCGTCATTATCGCCATTATGCTACCCAGACAGTCACCTAATTTCACCTAGGAAATCAGTAGAAATGAAACAAAATTTCATTTCATACAATTCGGCTTCAGATGCCTTCCATGAGCAGCTTTCATTTCCTTAAATTCATATTGTGGTTTCATGCATTCTGCCGCACGCGTTTTAATCTAATGATTTCCCATTAGCTTCAGAGACAAATGAAGGACAATGCAGAAGGTATCATGCTTCCTGGGGTAGGAATACCCTAAACCATCCCACTCAACCTGGTCCAAAAGACTGCCGGAGAGGCCAGGCTGAGTCTGATCCCTAAGCTGCCTACCTGGAAGGTACAATCAGAGTTCCTAACCCCAGCAACACAACTCAGGGACAAGTAAGCCCCATCCTAGGGGCATTGCTGACTAAATGGACCAGGGTTTGGTTCTTTTTGTCCTCACTCACTCTAAAATCCCATAATAAAAATGATGTCTGTAAATCACAACTCTCCCTGTGTTGATGCCCTGAGCTGCTCCTCCCCTAGGCTGGCACTATGCAGGTCTGATGGAAGACAGCATGCAGTTGGGACATGGCCGACTTGTGCAAGAATGTCGTAAGCCTGGCCTGCCTGCTCTAAATTCCCATGGAGGCTTGGTTTCCTGAGAGAGCATGGTGGCATTCACCATCTTCCTTTGCCCTCCGCATCCCAACTTCTTTACTAGTTACTGCCAAGTCATCGTGAGTGTAATTTATGGACTTCTGTGTCCCAGGCACTCTAGGAAGACTGCTAACTTCTGTTTTATCTTGTAGCTCTTGTAAAAATCCAATAGTGAAGTATTTGCATTTTTATTTGCAGGTCAAAGAGCTGAAATGACAGAGGTCTTAACTTGGTATAAAGGCCATGTAATAGTAAGGATGCTCAATGAACGTCTTGAACTCAGGCACTTCGGGCTTCAGAGCCTTGGGTCCACTATGCTACTCCACTTCCACATGGGGGAGGTTGCTTTGGCAATAATCCTCTTCCCACAATAATTCAATCCTCTAGATTATTTTTTTCTAATCAAACTATGTACCCACTGCACACTCCTTGTTAAAAGAATGATAGAACATTTCTCAACTGTTGTTGTTCACTGTCACTGTGTACCTTGGTGCTTAAACCTTCACTTAAACACTTAGGGCTAAAACACAGCAATAGTAACTATGGTGCATGGGTAAGATTCTGAATTCTGGCACCAGTATAAGTACAGTTCAAACTCCCACTCTACCACACAGCCATGTGAACTCACTTACACGAGCTGTTTAGCCCAGAGAAGCCTGTTTCCTCATTGGAAACACAAGAATGTCACCACAAACCAGCAATGGTGGAATCATGCAGAATGCTCACAGTACTTGCTGTGCCACCAGGGAGAGTGAGTAAAGGACTATTCTCATGCCATGTCATTTTGTTACCAAGGACACTGAAGATACTGGCCACTGAAGAATGACGAGGAAACACTGGAGGTTTAATTTCAAATCAGGAACATCTTCAATGTATTGACAAACTGATAATAAAGTGTTTGAGGAGTCTGGAAAATGATTAGTGTAAAGCTGCCTGGGTGTACAAAGCTGCTCCTCCAAATGAGGATGGTGTGGTTTCCACTCACATCCACCCTCAAACAAGAGCTCTATAAAAATTTGCATCATTTTTTCCCAGTTATGAGACAGGGTGTCATGCTGGCCTTGAACTTGCCTTGTAATTATTGACCATGAAATTATGGTCCTCCAACTTCTCTTAAGTGCTGAGATAGCAGGCATGTATCATGTTCTGCTGCTGTTATTTGTACAAAGCATCTTTATTACTGAGATATGTCAGAATGAATTTTAAATACATAGGCACATAGGTATGCATGAAATGTTGAAAGACTCCAATAACTTTCTTTTCTCAATCTTCAGCAACAGATACAGAATAAAATGGTAATCAATGTACAAGCGTGGTTCTAGGATTATAATCCTCAAAAGCATGTCTGAATATTTCATATGTATTTTCAGAAATAAAAAAAAACAGTAAAATTAAATATGTAACTTCCTATACTTACCCCTAAAGGAAGTTTTATCTAGGAAATTTCAAGATTGGATCCTAATTCAGACAAGGAAAATATCCTAATGTAAAGCCACGTTAAGCTGCTCGGGCTCTGGAAGTGATGAGGTCTTTCGAAAGGTGCCGGTGATACTATCTTGTTAGAAAAATATTACAAAGACACTGAAAACAAAACAAACTGACCTGTGCCGTTTTCTAACAAGTACAAGTGGCCTTCTTCCCAGAGAGCTGCCTGGGGGAGACATGGAGTAGGAAGTGTGACTGGACTCTCCGATGGTGGCTAAACAGTCTTTTAAATGGTGCAAAAGTACTACTGAATTTACTAGCAGTCAAAATGAATGCAAATTGTCAATGTCCTAACAACAGTTCACTATGTATGTATGCTTTGATATTTAAAGAGAAATCAATTAAAGGCTTGGTTGCAGATGTTCAAAGTAAGTAGTTGAGACTTTAACAGTAAATATGACTCATAATCTACAAGTAACACAATTTGGCGGGCCACGCCAGAGGGTGATCTACAAGTACAAGTCTATCGTAGGGCACTAAAATACAGTCAGGATACAAGGGAAGACAGTGACAAGACACTTGTGAAGGCTCCATTAGCTCTGAGTCTGTGTTTAATCAGCTTCTTGAACTTATCAGAAAGCAAACCAGGAAGAGCAAAACTATAGTTTTTCAGCAAGGTAACCTTTTATTTTAATGTACCCAGTTTTCACTTTTGCACAAATAGGTTTGCACTAATTAACCTTTGGCTTTGAGAACCGTAACTCAGAATTTATGCAATCCAGAGAATCAGAGAGTGAAATGGTTTTATCTGTCAACAAAGTAGGGAAAATTTAGGGAATAAGTGGAAATGAGCAGCTTGCATTTGAACTGGAAACGTGCCCTGTCCACCTTGAGCTCTGAACACTTTAGAAGTGTCCAGATAGGGAGACCAGAAATCCCCAAATCCTAGAGTGACAAAAACTGAGGCCTCCTGTCACCAGGATCCATCGCTCTGGCCCAGCTACTGCACTCCCTACACACAGAACTCTTCCACTGTGTTTCTTAAAAAAAAAAAAAAAGAAAAGAAAAGAAAAGAAAAGAAAAAGAAAAAAAGAAAAAAGTTATTTTATTGTTAATTGGGGATCAGGGTAGGGTAGGTGCACATGAGTGCGGGATCCCCCTGGAGTTGGAGTTACAAACAAAAATGATAATCAGTCTGACCCGTGGAGCCATCTCTCCAGCTGTCCATTTCATCTTTCTGAATTGCTCACAGCAGCATCTGAACTATTGCTTCTTGTCCTCAACCACACCCCCAGCCCCAGAAAAATAAACAAGTAATGTAAGGAAAATAAAGTACTTGTTGTACAAACACAACACCCACAGGAACCCCACTTCTTTCTTCTGAAACTGTATAATAGACAGGAACTCACCTCCTACTCTTACCCTGTCCCCTCACCCGCTTATGTGGAAGAATGGGATGACACACCCCCACAGCACGTGATTACCTCGTGATACAGCCAGAGGACATATCCTTTGACCTGTCCAATAGTGTTTCTTGGTTTTCAAGAGAAAACAGAATGTCCCTGAAGCAAGAGGTTTGTCAGTGACGTCTGGAGCAGACAGCTCACCTGTGGGGTTCGGGAGGAGCTGGGGCTGCTCGAGGCAGAGGAGACCATGCTCACATTGGGGTTCATGCTCCGCTCTCGCTCATCCTGGTAAATTCGATCACGCTCCACTTCAGGCAGGTTGAGGAAGTTCTGCATGGCCCTCAGGTTTACTAGAAGAGACTGAGACGCAGTCCTGGGGTCTTCTTCCTTACGCAGTATCTCTGACAATAATCCCTGGTAGAGTGGGGAAAAAATAGGCAAAGTCATGTCTACAGATTTACGGGTGTGGTTTCCGTCTTCCTCCCCAACTGCCCCTCTATTTGTTTGGCATAACCAGCTTGAGAGGATATCAGGAACATGCCTAATTCCTTGGAGCTCAGGAGGAGTCTGTATGAATGTGCTCCCTTTCCGGGGCGGTGCCTTATTTTAGGACTTCTATTCTGCCACCTCATCAACACTGTAATAATCCTATGTGTGCCAATGCCAGCGAGCAAGGTAGGCGCTCAGGAGGAAATGTGGAGCTGCAGTTACCACCAGGTGCCTCCAGCAAGTATTTCAGGAGCTGTTAGAACTCTCTCTGCTTGAAACTGGGAACTCTTGGCAGTCTTGCTTAGCTTTACGAATCTGCCAAGTTTGGTAAATTTAGTTCCGACATTTAAACAGCATGGGAGATTTACATCGATTTTAAAAAAATAATAAAAGTTTGGCTGAATTTCTGTATGACCGGACACTGATTTCAATATAGATGTTTCCTAAGGCAAAGGGTGGGTGGAGAATAGAAAGCAAATGTAACCTGTCAACTCCGATAACTTCTCAGCCTCCATGCACAGCAGTTATGCTTTCACAGGTACCATGAGGTACCCCAGACTTTTGTAGGGTACCCCCATGGGAAGCTCTAATTTCAAGTGATGAAAATGTGGTCACATAAGCTAGGCACCCGGACATGCTCTAGTAGCGTTGGACTGTAGTGTTGATAGGCTCTGACGTCCCGATCGACCTGATGTGTTCTGAATGTGTGACTTAACTAAAAAAGGGAGCTTTAAAAGCAGTGTTTTTGTGCATCTAATGACACAGAATTCACAAAGATTTTCTCGATACTCTAGTAAAGCAGCATGGCCTAAGAGGACAGTAGGAGGCAGGCTAGAGAAATGGTTGTTAACCTACAGGTCTTGACCCTGTTGGGGGTCAAATAACCCTTTCACAGGGGTCACATAGCAGATATCCTGCTTATGAGATACTGACATTACAATTCACAACAGGTGCAAAATTACAGTTATGAAGTAGCAACAAGAATAATTTTATGGTTGTGGTTACCACAACATGAGAAACTATTAAAGAATTGCGCCATTAGGGAAGTTGAGAACCACTGAGCTAGAGCGAGGTTAAGACAGAGCAGACCCATTACTGTTGCAGGCACTTGTTGCATTACCACCCAGAAGCATCAGTCCATACTCTCAGCTTTTACCGTTTTGCAGGGCACTGTCAGATGAGGGTTTAGGAAGAAGAGCTAAGAGGTTAATCCTGTACTTTGAACACATGAGGCTTGCCTGATGACCTCGGTTTGATTCTTGGGACTTACAAGTGGAGAGAATTCATTCCTGCAACCAAATGCAATGTGCACTATGGTGCATGCATGTACATGCATGGATGTGCACACAACATGCCATACACATACACAGAGACACATAAATGAACCTAACATTTTTTTAAAAATCACACAAAACAACTATACTGCAAGGAACCCACCAATGGCATGCCACCTGTGAGCTCTGAACTTGGAGACCACATTACGTTGACTAGAGGGATCCTAGTACTTGGGAGAAGTGACCACACAAACGTAGCTAGGAAGCACAGTGTCTGCTTGAGGTCAGAATGTGAATAAGGATAAAATATACCACATAATGAAGCTAGAAGAAGTGTGTGTGTGTGTGTCTGTGTCTGTGTGCCTGTGTGTCTGTGTGCTAGTTAGTATGTGGGCATGCACATATGTGCTCAAGGAAAGAGCAAGGTAGGCGGTATGTGTAAAAATATCCTACTGCTAAAATGATTAGAGGAAAATCCAGATCTCACGGCATGCTTTTAGAAGCAACAAGTAAGGCACTTGTCTTCCAAGAAAGTATGCGTTCCATGAATCGATTCTCCTGAAATTAAGAGTCACTTGTGCCTTAGGTCACCCTGCTTCCCACTTAAACTGAGCAACCTGAAATGGTCATAATGGATTTGCTTCAAAGATTTTTTTTTTTAAATCTCTAAATTAATATGAAGAAAGGAAGTGGATTTTAAATTGCTCCCAATTTCCAAACCCAGTAAGACACTAAGATTGAAACTCTCTGCGCTTCATAATGAGTCATGCAAAGAAAGAACAGGTTAGTTTTCTCCCTCCTCCCCAGCCATTCTCCTTTCTGTCTCCCCTACCTACCTTCAGGACTGTAACAAAGGAAGCTTAGGGTCATCATGGAGGAACTCATTATGATTATAAATCAAAATATCTCAGAGGCAGAGTTTAACTTATTCTTCCTTCATAAAAGTATTTTCATGAGTCACATAGTATAGTACAGTAAAGGCTCTTACATATAAAATCGTGATATAAAATACTATTGTTCTAATACACCATATCTAAAAACTATGTAGGTTCCCAAACAAAAAAAAGTCATTAAAATTATAGAGTGTTTTTTATTTATTTCTTGGGTTTACTTTATGTTTTATTTTAAAACTGCATAGAATCTGTCACATACTAGAGAACCTTCTAGGAAAATTCCTCCATCTCTCAGGGCAATGCATATAGAGCACCCTGGAAGATGGCTGCTGGTCAGCATCACTGCTGAAGCTAAAGACAGACAGCATTTGTATTTTAAGTAGCTCGTGGAATATATTGCTTCTGTCAAGTAATTTACCTAATTGCAGATACAGTCTCAAATGACCAAGCTTGGCCAGTATCACCTTCATACGCAGCCTCCAGAAAATCACAACATTGCTCCAAATCCTTTGCCTCAACTCTCATCAGCATAGCAGTGGTCCCAAAGTGCATTCTTTCCACTGGGGACATTTTCAATGATAAGTGACTAACTAGAGTGAACAAGACCGTAGCTGCTTGGTTTTGATATTTTTCACTCTGGCTATTTGCGTCCCTTTAACTCATGTAAAGTAAGATTTTAAAGGCACGGTGTAAATTCTGCAGACATACATGTGAAGCGATGAAGTGTGTGCACGCGCGCGCACACACACACACACGCACGCACACACACACACCACCACCCCAACCCACCACCCACTAATTATCAAGATGAGTAAATGTTTATTATATTGAATCTGTCTTGAATGGAACATAAATTAATAATTTATCTCACATAAATATTTCTAAAGCCTTTGCTACTATGTCATCTGGCATTTTAATTATCAACCTCCTGCTAAGCAGGAGGTGTCACTTGGACAGTGCCATTATGTAGCCTGAGATATAGAAAATGTGGTGCAGCTCCTGGGCTTTGGAAGGAAAAAAGATGCACTCCTATCAATAGGAAAGTCATGAAAGGGAATTAATAAATTAACCAGGATAATGCTTATTAAACTTTCATATCAGTAATCATATTAAAATATACTGCCAGTATTGAGCAAAGTGGCCATTAAGTGTTTGCCTCATTGTAGGCAATAGAGCCTTCTCCAGGGAGACATAACAGTTTCTTCAGCAGTGTAAGACTACTTTCATAAGACAAGGAAACATGTTGCCTGCAAGGGCACAGGTAACACAATGTGCACACACCCTCCACATTAGTTCCTGGGTTCAAAGTCACTGGAGGGAAAAACAAAAAAGGTTTTGGCAAAGAGAGTCTCAAAGGGGCTTTCCCCTGGCTCATTAATGGGAGAGTGTACAAGCTATTCAGACCATTGCTAGGACCAGCAAAGAATAGATGGTTTGGGAAGGAACTCACTAAAATTAAGATAATTCAAAGTATAAAACAACAAACTGTAAATGCAATCTGGCTTGCCTGATGATACACAGTATCTTCAGATAGAAGGAAGAAATTGATGTGATTTTTAAAGTAAAAGAAATAATGTTTATCTGTTGTATAACAGCATTTCTAAGTAATATTTTGAATGAACTTCCCTTCTCATCACTGAGCTTTCTGTTTCAATACTTCATCAACTGATACAATGTTTCCTTACATTTGTGTACAGGATACATGCTGACACTCATAAAAGTGCCAGGGTGCCATACACATTACAGTGACTGACTTTCAAGCCTCCACACTAGCCTTGTCACCTTCTCAGGGATGGCTGACAGAGTAGCTTTCAATCCTAAAGAGAATGTGCACCTGCATGGACTAGGTCTTAGGTTTAAGAATTGTACAGATCCCTGTAGAGCAGGTCAGGACTGACTGGATCTGAACGGAGAGACTTTATATGTGGTTTTCAAGTTTTTGGTACCTTTCTAGAGTTAGGCTATATCAATCACAGAAAAAAATTATGGAAACACTAAGCCAAATATTGTCCCTCAACTGTTGAGGGAACCCCCAAACCCATCATAATCATCCCAAAAAAACAACAGCTCCATTAATTCCTTTCTCATTTATTGGTTTAAAAAAATCAGGGAAAGGGTGAAGAGACAAAAAGAAAAAGATCCTGCTTCCATAGAGTTCTCTACTTGGTGGGAGGAAGGTTTTATAGGAGCATGCTGGAAAAGGCGTTGACTGGTTGCACTTATTCACACACAGGTGGTCCCAGCTTTAAGGAGACAGAGGGAAGGTCATGAGGTCAAGGATATCCCTGGATCATGCAGTGAGATTCTGTCCCAAATACGAACAAGGGAAGAAAGGTAGACAGAGAAATGGGGAAGGGAGAAGAGGGGAAGGAAGCAGGGGAGAGAAGAGAAAAGAGGAGGGGGGAGTGTTAGGAGATGAGAGGGAAACAGGAAGAAAAGGGGGAAAATGACAACTGCCATAAATTCAAAATACCACTAGTACCATCTTGGTTCAAAATAAGAAGATGTATTGACAACTGTGGGTCTGGAGGGGCTGGGCTTTATGGAGGAGGTGAAATGGGGTCTGACTGAGTCTTTAAATATGAATGGCACCTGCTGGGAGAGATAATGGTCTAGCCAGGAAGGGGAAAGACTGCAGAGGAACATCTGAAAGAAAAGAGGCCACGCTTTTTCCAGACAACCAAGGGAAGTGTGCTTTCTCGGGTGAAAAGCTGATACAGTGGTATAAAACCTTCTGAAGGGACAACGACCGTGCACA